TGAAAAATGTGTACCATTATCGTCTTTAGACATCTATTCGTTCGTTCGCTTTTGTTGCTACCGGTGTATGTTCAAACGGACTGATGCGTTCATCCTGACCGTTGTTGGTCGGACTAAGTTCAACAAGCGATGACATAACGTGATTCATAAACCATACCATTTTCAATTTAAGATGTCATGTTGCCATGTAGATAGCACGATAGTCCGATTACGCCATCGTTTCACATTGTCTTGTACTTTTTGTGAGAATCTTGTTGTCATGTTCAGTCCATCCATGTAGTGAAGGCACGCCTGTTGTACAGCCGAAGTTCACTGGGTCTGCCAAAGACTCGCGGTTGTAGACAAGGCGCTGTTTCCCGCTCAGGTTAGGTGGGCAAGTACCAAGTCTCTTGTTGCGGCGACTATCCAGCCGATCAATAAATGAACCCGATCGGTCGTGTGATTTTCGGGCCGACATGGGAGAAAGAAGTTCTGAATCCGATGCTACTTAAGTGTTGGTAAAAAAAAATCATCACAAGAGAATCAGTTGTGCAACGATGCGCCATGTGAGAGATTCGGAACGCAAGATTTCAAGCGATGATGACACTGGGCCAACGTTTGACTGGTCTAAGATACACGCATTATTTTTTAAAGTGGGTTCTCGCGCAAATTTTCGGACAGGCGTGAGTTCATTTTTAGAGTATCAAGCTTGGATTAACCCATTCGATCGCTTATTAACGATCTCCCAAGGAGTGAAGTTTACTTTGAAGAAATTCACTCCTGTTCAGCCAACCGAAGGCTATAGACGCCACGGAATTATGGCAACTCTCAAGCAATTAACGATCGATAAACTAAAAATGCATCTCATAAACTGTCCTTAGCCCCGGGGTACGATGACCTTTGGTAAGTGACCTGTTTAAACAGTTAACAATCCATAGGTGTTCCGGATCATTTCGAAAAATTTGGGCGTTGTGCTCATGGTAACAATAGAATCAGGTTTACTGTTCCGCTACATACATTGGTCAAACTTCCCGCCAGTAAAACACCGGATTAAAGAACATGCTAGGACACTGAAAAAAGACCAAAGAATGCGACGGATCTTCAAAAACTGGAACGAGATTCGGCGATTGCTGTTCATGCTTTGTGCGAAGGACACACAATAGACTTCGATAACCCCAAGATTTTGAGACACGGTTTGCGTAGCCACAAAGAAAGGATGATCTCCGAAACTTTGTGGATTAACACTAAAGCTAAATGTGTCAACCGCACGGAGGGGACTGATTTGTCAGTGGCCTGGTGTGACGCTCTCGCCATTGCCCCAACAAACCACTGATCTCTCGTGTATTGTTTTCACACAGATTCACACACCAACACAGATCACGCAATAAGTGCAGATCCCACAGAGCTCTAATGATAATCCGAATCCAACATACACACACATACACGCACACGTCCACACATACACGGAAACTTACGCACTTGACCCCGTTTTTGGATCAACCTTGAACGCCGCGATTGTCACCTTAAAGCTTGTGTTTTCGAGAAACCGATTAAACTGACTTGACAAAGGCCTTCCAAGAAGGTCAAAACGTTGTCACCGAAATCTTGTGTTTTGGCTAAAACAAACCTGATTCTATTGACCTATTTAATTTCATCGGTGCTCTAGGACAAGTGATAGCGTCGTTCCTTCATTCACACAGGCGTGACGCTGGCTATCGATCGCTGGGATCTGACATCTCACTCCACTGATTCGATAACCAGTCAGTCGCGATTATCGTTCACCCGTTAGTATGACAGAGCCCATTGATAAACCGGATGACGTGGGCGTTGGTGACCACTGTAGCAAAAATGACCACATTGGAGTGCCCCACAGTTCAGTTCAGTGTCCCACAGAATTACAAAAAACACTGCAGATTACAAAGATAAATCGTCGTTTGTCTCAGCTTGGCCCTCCTTTGGAAATCCTCGCAAGGATTATTCATTCAGTGAACAGTACCAAGAACGTGTCACACTAGGTGCAACGTCATTGGTTGAGTGCGACATTTCATGGTGGATGGTCAGTGGTCGTCCCGAACATCGGTCAACGATCAAGTGAGTGTGTATCAGGAACTGCAACATATTGAGGGGTGCGATATGGCATAGGCAGAAACTGTTATTAAGCATATGATTGGTTTGGGTTTTCGAAAAGGTGGGAAGATTTTGGAAAATGCGACTTCTCAGGGGTGCGACATAGCAGGAGATT